CGTCCTCCACAACTAGACTGAAGAACAAAAACGACAGCAACTTGTCTGTTCCCCTTTCCCCAATTCCCCAGCACTGTTCCCATCCCCCCAATTTCCCAATAAAAATCTTTAAAAAAAAAAATAAAAAAAATAATTACTCTCTTGCTTAAAATTCTTCAATAGCTCCATCACTACCTACAGCCTACAGCCAATAGAACTGGCAGTAGGTGGGGTCACAGTGGTGATGAAAGAGAGGGAGTTGCTGAGGATGATTTTCAGACAGAAAGGAAAGGGCTGAAAGGGTGGTCAGAGGACAAAAACATTTTCCATTGCCACAACCTCCCAGCATCCCTTCCACCATCCTCCTGGATTTGAAGACCTTCACCATGGTGAATTGACTAGAAATCACCAAGAGTCCTTTTTTCTTTGTGCTAAAACTGGGGTCAGCAATCTGGCCCACTGCTTGTTTTTATAAGTAGTTTTATTGGAAACCAGCCACACCCATTTGTTTATATGTGGTCCATAGCTACTTTCCTGGAGTTGAGTAGTGTGACAGAAACCATATAGTCTACAAAGCCTAAAACATATACTATCTGGCACTTTATATAAAGTTTGCCACCCTGAGCTAGAAAGTTGAAAGGAACAGTTTGACAGAAAGTTCACCTGTCTTCACATCTCCATATCCAGAGCCATTAGAAATCCCACAAAGCTGGTAGATTTAAAAAGCAAATCAGCATTCAGATGAGTCCTCAATACAGAAATCTTTTACCTAGTTGCTACTAAGACAAACTGAAATGCTCTCAAGACATGGGAGTTTTGATGATGGGGGAAAGGAAGAAGAGAGATAGGTAAGAGCATGGGGCACACTACTAGGTGGGGTGTTTTTGGACAGTAGAGGAGAATGACATTAGAGCCCCAGGAGAAAAGATATAAGGGCAGGTATAAGGGCTTCACTGAAAACCCCCTCTACAGTGTCACCAGGGGGCTGAGCTTGCACTTCCTTCCAGAGGCTCAACACTGTTCATATTCAACTGGATTCATTCTGGCCTTTAGAAATGCTCAGTGACATTGTGGAGAGTGATACTCTAATGAGATGTCTTTGTGATGACTCACAGAAAAATCAGGGGGATGGATATATTTCATTTGGAAAGGCCCAACACCATCAATAGGAAGCAAACAGGAGGTGAGAAGAGACTATGCCTATGAGCCTTTGTGTATCTTAGTGACAATTAGGTTAACAAACACAACAGTGAAAACAAAATACATTTATTTCATTCATCTTGTAAAATTATACATAATTACTTCTTCTTTCCTCAGTTCTGGCAGTCTGAGCTGTTTCCTGATTTAGAATCTTATCAGTCACAACCTTCTAACGTTTTCATGACTAATAACAGAATGACAATCGTAATATATAAGTAATTACATGAACTAGTTGGATTCATCTTACCATGGACAAAAGTCTATTGATGGCCACTGCCCGCTGCTGGGCTTCTATATGAGGCATTTCATTCTGAATTACTTGGTCTGTGATTCCATGAGGGAACTGGTGACATAATTCTATAATCCTAGGAACAAAGGTATTAATGATATTACTCATGTTTTTACTTATTTCAAGAGACAGCCTGGGGAAATATTAGCAGAACAATTTGAAATTGTGTTCTTTTCACATTTGGCAGATAGTCTGGCTTCTATGATGGTTCTAAATCAAAGCGTGTTAGGAACTGAGTAAGATGCTTTTGAAATACATGTTTACTTTATTATTGTTATTTAAGGAAAATATGTTTTCCTCACTAACATAATCTTTAAATTAGAACAAAAGTCAAATGAGAAAACAGCAAAAAATGTTAATGCTGCTTCAATTTTCTAAGATGCAACAAGTATGACCAAGTTAAGATACAGCACTGGGCAGCCATAAGTCTGCAAGCAGGAGTCAAATCATACATTTCTAGTGGGAAGCCAAAATTTGTTATAAGAATTCACAATTGGGGCCTGCTTTTGGAATTATCTCCACCAAACAAAAATAAGCGCATTATCTTCACCTTGTCACAGGATCATCATATGTGTTATTCATAACAGTGTGAGGCAGCTGGGGTCTTTTCAAACTATGTGGTAACCTAATAATAGCAGTGCACTGATAGAGAACATAACATTGGGAGAGGCTTCAGGTGCCCTAAAATCTTGACTTAAATATTGCCCCGAAACTATTTTTGGATTAATGTTGCTTCGTAATCACTAATGCACTCTAACCACGCCCAAACGTTCTGTCGTGGGAGTTCCCATAGCGACAAGTACAATCCGGTATGAGAACATATATCCTCAAGTACCACGGGAGAAACACCGTGTTTTCTCTGAACGCCGACCACATGAACGTAGGAAGGAAGCGCATCATCACAACTTCCAAACAGCATCCGGACAGCTACACAAAGTTGCCAACTGTCAAGCTCGTTTTGAACTTATTAAGAGTTCTACTCTCCAGGGGTGGAAGGTGTTCAAATCCGGTAATTCCCCTCCTGCACTCACTGAACTTGTTCCGGTATCTAGTGAATGTCCCGAGAAAAGGCTGCCCAAATGACCGCCCGACTGCGTGGGCTCCCGAGCCGGGAACCGAATCTCACTCATTTACCTGTTTTCTATTTCAACTGGATCCGCGTCAGGCGGCTGCACTTTCACCTTCACTTCAGCCATGAGGGCGCAATTCCCACCCCTGGGGAAAAGAGACGCACTGAGCAGCCAGATAAAGAGCCACGGATTCAGCGAACCAGAAAAGACAGATCCCAGCCGGGGCGAAGGACCTTTTTCCTCGTGTCGCAGTTGGTCCTTCCTTGTCCGTCGACTTGAGGTGCCCAAGCCACGCCTGCTACTTATCACTGGCTGGAGCCGCTACACTTTATTCTTGTCTTCCAGAATGTCAATGCCTGTCGGACGACCGAGCCTGGTTCCAGCATTCTGAATTGGAACGCCACTTTTTAGCACGTTCCAATCTCTGTGAAGGCATATTCTTGGATGCCTATAGTGAAGCCTTAGGAAAGGAGCTTCCGGCGGGTACCGCTCTCCTAGCCAAACAGCTGGGGCGGAGCTAGTTGCTAGAAAGCCGGGTTTCCGCCAATCACATGCCCAACTCAGTGGGCGTGGCGCGGCTCCCAGCGTCTGTGGTAACCGAGTCGGTGGCAAAGGAGAGGGCAAGAGGCAGTGAGAGGTGCGTTTACTGGCTGCGGGTGGCGGAGGTACCATAGGGGTCCCAGTCCCGGCTCCGGTATCCGGAGGAGGAGGAGGGGGAGGGGGAGGAGGAGGGCCTCCCTCACTCCAGCTGAAAGGAAGCAAACGTTTATGGCTGCCCCTGATGGGCAGACCAGACGGGGTTTCGGATCCGGGTGGCAAGGGGGCAGTGTTGTTGGGGGTTGGAGGTGCTGTTTACTCCACACTGCGGTTTGCCCTAGTGGGCTGGGCTCCTTCCTGAGCCTCTTCGCCTGAGGCCCACTTGCCGCCCCATCCTCCCAAGGGCAGCTCCTAGTTGCCGCGCGCCAGTTACTCCCTCCCCAACTATTTTTATTTTGAACTAATTTTCAATTATTTTTATTTTAACTGCCTCGCACATAAATGGAAAGTGAGGACTGGCAAGCCTCCCAAATCTAGCCACCCTTCTGTAGGGGCTAGTGCTCTACTATCAGTATTTGCAGTTCAAATTCTTGACCTCCGACTTGGAACTATATAACCAGGCATAAAGTACACTTTTTAAATTTAGTTATCCCAGTTTTGGGAATACAGCCTGTGACAAAACTCACACCACAAGAGCATCATTATTTAGAATTGTAACAACCAAAACTACAAAGAAACTAGTAGTATTTTAAATGCCCAACCGCAAATTGATAAATAAGATTATAAGAGTAGGTGGAAAATTGTCAATAACAGAAAAATAATAGAGCGAGGGTGCAAAAAGTAGACTGTAAAAAATTAATGAATATATAGGTTATAAATGAGCAAGACATATGTATTCATAATCACTGGAATTTGAAAAGGCTATACAGAGATGTAAATGGTTGCTGTATTAAGGTGAGGGTTATTTTTCCCCTCCTGAATTCTTTACGTATTGAAAATTATGACACCTCCCAGCAAAAAGATCAGTAAGGCCTCCATAGTCATACTGAATTATTTATAAATAAAATATAGTAGATGGAGTGGGAGACTTTTGTGTTTGTTGCTCACTGTTTATATTGGTGCCAACTTTCTGCTGAGGTTTGATAATTTGCCATCCTTCTAAAGTTTTCTTTGCAGATAACAAATGCAAGAACTACTTGGCTACAACTGCAGAGCCTTGAACCTGGAGCTTTCTCAAAGGAGTTGGCTCTAAATGAACATGCTACGTGCTACATACAGAGTTACTTCTATTTTTCCCGTGTGATGACTTGCCCTGAAGCCAAGAGAGGTGGCACATTAGTAAGAGTCAGGGAAGGGTAATAATGATTCAGAGGGAGCTGTGATCAGATCATTAGTGAAGGTCTCTGTTCTAATACATTCATTTAATTTAGCCATTTAAAATAATTCCATTTCCCCATCCCATTCATTCATGCTCTTTTCCCAGAGGTAAGTATTTAGATAATCAAAATCACACCCAAGACCTCAAAAGCAAAAATACAGCTGAAACAATAATTATTTCAATTAAAAATGAAATAATATTTGTAGGTGATATATTAACAGCATTCTCTTTAGTTTTTTCTAGTTTTACTATATTTAAACAAGGTGCTTCTCTTCAGCTTTTATGTTAAAATATAGGTGGCCATTGGAATGTATTTTCATACACTTTTTAAAAAATGTAAGCAGGGAAAATGACTGCTGGTTCAGTGTGTGTTCCTCAGATCATACCACTGCGAGTGCCTCAGCCTGGAAAAGCCAACCATGAAATTGATAACAATACACTTTTGGAAATGAAATCAGGTAAGAATCAAAAGTACTTGAAATTGTTTAAAGTAACATTTCCATACTCATTCTGTTCATCTGGTTGTTGATACCTCTTTGCATGTTTTCTGTAATCAGGACCTTTGGAAGTTTTTAAAACTTCCAAAATTTGAAACAGTGTTACTTGGTGGTTTATAGAGTGGTGTGTATTTAGAGTGAAACAATTAGCTTTGACCACCCTTTCCTTTGTATAGGTCCATAGTTACAGCAATGCCTTGACTCACCTTAGCCAAGGTAAGATGTCCTGGTGCCATCCCAAACATTCCCAGGATGCTCATTATTTTGTTGGGATAATAAATTTGACGTACTAACACAAGCTCTTCAGTCAGACAGGCTGGAGAATGAATGCTGGCTGTGATAACTTCTGGTGATCTTTGGTATATTTCTTAGCCTTTATGAGTCTCACTTTGCTCATTGTAAGTTAATGATAATATCTACCATTTAGAACCATTGTGAGGATTCAATGAATTGATGTGAGGTACACAGGATCTAGTATGTAGTAATGCCAAAATAAATCTTAGCTGCTATTATAGAAATAAATCAGTGAATGTATTTCCTACTAATGCCAGAAGTGTGTGTGTGTGTGTGTGTGTGTACACACACACATTTTTGTACTTATACATAACATAAGGTGGAGGGAAAGTTTTATAGATAAAACATGAATAAACACTTGTTTGAAACAGACTTTGAGATTCCAATTATATACTTTAATAACTGATATGTGTAAAAATTATTTATCTGTAGCTATGTTATTACCACTGTGCTTCCTAGACTGAGAGTTCAAACTAAGACTATATTACATTATACCCTGTCTCCTTTATCTTAGAAGCTAATATTTTTCAAAATTCTCAAAGCAAAATACAAATTTTAGTAGAAGTTGGATGGCTATTGACAAATGATGATATGAATGATAGGGTATACAAATTTTTTAATATTTAAAATGACTAATAAATAAAAGGTTCTACAATACAATAACAAATAGAATAATAACCCAATAGAAAAATGGACAAAGGATGTGAAAGGACATTTTATAGGAAAGGAAATATAAACGTCTTTTAATCATACGAGAATACGGTTCTACCTACCCCTTTATCTACTTGCTGAGCAGATCTTATCCCCTGCTTTGTTTACTCCATTGTATTTAATCACCACTCAACAGATAGTACATAATTTTTGCTTGTTTACTGCTGTAGGGGTTACTGGTGTATTCCCCGTGCCTAAAACAGTGTCTGGCACACAATATGTACTTGGTAAATATTTGTTGAAGGAATGAATGAATCTTACTCAAAATGTAAGAAATGTAAGTTAAAACTGCAAGATACTTCTTTTTTTAACATAAGATATTGGCAAAAATAAAAGAAAAATTGATAACATACGATACGGTTGAGATTGTGGGTAAACACGCACTTTCATGCATTGCTGGTGTTATATTGGAAATCAGTGAGACCAACAGAAGACACTTTAGTCAATAGGCCAAATTAGGAGTCTTTATTCCAGAAGCCGGCGACCGCGAAAGGACTCATGTCTCTCCAAACCTCGTGGCCCGAGTGGGGTTGAGGGGTCTCTTTATAAGGGTAAAAACCACATCCTGCGTGGGGCATGGGAGGGGGAGCTGTACTTAGCCAAGCGAGTTACAAAAGCCACAAACAGCAGAGTTAAGTCTATCTATGTTCAGTGGAAAATTTTTGCAGCATAGGTCCCTGTGGGGGACACAGTATGGAGGATACAGAACGAGATGGAGTTAGTCTTGTCAGGGCCCGTAATTCACTGGTGGTGTAAATTGTTTCAGCATCCATGGAGGGAAGTTGGGCAATATTAACCAAAATTAAAAATGCATATATCTTTAACTCAACAGTACTAGTTCTACATATTTTACAGATATACTTATAAAAATAACTTTGCAAGTTTATTCATTATAATGCTTGTAATGGCAAAGAAAAAAAGCAGAAAAAGAAAACATTTAGATGTCCATCTGTTGGGGATTGGTTAAATTATGGTTCATCTACATAAAGAGAGAGTACAATTCAGCCATAACACAGAATGAGGACGCTCTTTATATACAAATATAGAACAAAATCCAAGACATATTGCTTTTTGTTGTTTTTTTTAAAGGTAACATCTTTATGACATTTTTTAAAAAAAAATTGGGGAATTGGGGGAGGGGAACAGTGTTGGGGAATTGGGGAGGGGGACCAGCCAAATTGTTGTTTTTCAATCTTAGTTGTGGAGGGTGCCAGTTGCCATCTGGCTGCCTGTTGGCAGCTTGTGGCCTCTAAGCTCAAGGTGGTGTGTTAGTCTTAGTTGCGGGTGGGGGTAGCCACCATCCCATGCGGGAGTTGAACCAGCAGCCTTGTTGTTAGGAGCGCACACCTTATCAACTGAGCCATCTGGGCGGCAGCTCAGCTCAGGGTGCCAAGTTCAGTCTTAGTTGCGGGTGGGCATAGCCACCATCCCATGTGGGAATCATACCCGGCAGCCTTGTTGTTAAGAGCACACGCTCTATCCACTGAGCCATCCAGGCGGCAGCTCAGCTTAAGGTGCCGAGTTCAGGCTTTAGTTGCAGGTGGGTGTAGCCCACCATCGAACAGGCAGTCTTGTTGTTGGGAGCACGTGCTCTCACCAGCTGAGCCATCCTGCCACCAGTTGGCAGCTCAGTGGCAGCTCGGCTCGGGCGCAGCATCACTGGCCCATGTGGGAGTCAACCTGTTGCTCAGAGCTCACGCTCTTAAGCTAACTCTTAACCAACTGAGCCACTCAGCCGGCCCAAGACATAGTGTTAAATAAAAAAAAAAAAAATGTGTGGAACAGGGTATGACATGCCACCATTTGTAGAAAAAGAATGGGGGAAATAAGAATATGGACATATGTGCTTGTATGGATATAAAATGTATTTGGAAGGATATTATAGATACCACTGATTGCCTTTGGGCAGCTGAGATCAGGAGCCAGAGAGAGAGGTTTACTTATATATCATTTTTTGACCTCTTGAGTCTTGGATCATATGAATTTATTACCTTTACAATTTTTCTAAGAAATGTAGGAATGAATCATTTACCAAGTCAAAATAAAATATAATAAAAGCATTTCTTAAGCAATGCTCAAAAAATGAAAAATTAGCTTCTGCTTTCTAAATGGGTGTTCTACTCTTAAAATAGATCCCTACTCTATTTGTATTAATGCCCTATTAGAGAGGCAGAATAGCATAGTGGTTCAAGAGCATGGGCTATGGATCCAACTTAGCAGAAGTCAAACCACAACTCTACTGTTATTTGACAAATTTCTTAACCTCTTTGGGACTCTGTTTCCTCATCTATAAAGTGGGTATACAATCGGACCTGTCTTATAGGGTTTTACAGATGAAATGAGCTTATTCATATAAGGCACAGTGCCTCGCATAGAGGAAGAACTCAATTGTTGTTATTCATTTCTACCATATTAAAAAACCTCATTAAATAACTGACCCATAAGCATTATTCAGGGACTTATTACTTGAGCAATACTGCCAGTTATCCTGTTTTGGGTTTTTCAGATACTCCCGATGTCAACATATATTATACCCTGGATGGCAGCAAGCCTGAATTTCTAAAGAGAATTCGTTATGGTGAAAATAATACATTTAAGTATACAAAGCCTATTACTCTGCCTGATGGAAAAATACAAGTTAAAGCTATTGCAGTCTCTAAGTAAGTTAAGAGCATGGTGATTAAAATAATTTATAATATAATGATATTATGTTTTAATTTTATTTATTTCTTCCTGTGAGAATCAGTGTTGGACTAGAAGGGCACTAAAAAAGTTATTTTAATTTCAGATGTATCTGTAACTTTTGTTTTTTGTCTTCTATTGAGGTATACTGTAAAGTGCACAAATCATAAGATTATAGCTCAATAAGTGCTATGTATATTAATACTATTTATATTTTGAATTCCACATTGGGATTTCACGAACTTTTTTAGGATTTGGAACCTCTGAGGAGATTCATCTGGCTCTGAAGAAAATTCTGCTTTTAATGGATGGTTCTTTTACTGCCTAGGACACAGGCTACAACTACCATGGTCATTCTCTGTTTTATTTTGTATTGGCTTTCAAAGCTACTGTCATTTCATTTTGTTGGACATTAGTTAGTGACTTTATTCCTTTATTCTGTATTTCCTACTCAGTGACTTTTTCCAGTTTTCATATATGGAAACATCTTAATTTGGAAACCATCACCTTCTGTTGTAGAGAAAAAACTCAAATGCTTTGGAAGTCTGTGATTGGGGAATTGTTTTGTGCAGCAATACAGGTTTGGCCACATTTTTGGAACACTTTTAAGCCCCAAACCAACACATGGCTGGCCTAGGTACATACTTTTAAAAGATTCTCCGGGCTCCCCCTGGTTGCTGAACTACTACTGCATGACTTTTTGAGGAGAGCTCTAAATTCTACACCAAAGGTGATTGTTTGAACATTTGAAAATTAAAAAAAAAAAAATGAACAAAATAAAAATGAAAGAAAACAACCCCCCAATACAATTATTCTTCTTTAGTAAATATTGACATTTGCGGCTTTTCCCATTTGCCAGACCACTTCTATCAAAACAAGTCATCTCAATTATCGTTAAAAATTAACAAGCTAAATAGTACTCTCAATGCCTAATGCTGTAAAGGCCCCTTTAGAATCTGCTGGTAGTTGTAAAATGAAGTAGTTATACAATGACAAATTACATAGTTGCAAGGAATTAATAAAGCTTCCAAAGAGTCGAAAAATAAGACGATTCTTTATGTCTCTCACCATCTTGCTCTGTGCCCACCAAGTGTCTATTCTGAAAGCACTGTTAGTATTTCAGGTGTGCTGAGCTTAAGAAAAGTATAAAAAAATTTTTAGAGTTTTCAACACACAAAAATTAGTGCTTGTATACATTTGTGATAAAGTAGTTCTTTATGGAAATTACACCACTTCATTCAAATCTGTTTCTAGGTACTAAAGGCAATTAGTTTCTTAAAGAGACAAATGATTTTAAATGAGATTGTTACCTATTAAAGGTCATTGTTAACATATTAAGAGGAAATATGGTGGTCATGAAGTTTTTAATATAGGGAAATACTTATGCTATAATAAATGAAAAGTATTAGGATAAAAATAACACTATTATTTTAACACTGTTTAAAAATGCACAGAAAAAACCCCAGAAGAAAACATGCCAAACTTTAGCAGTCATTGCCTCTGGTGATACAATCGTGTTGTTTTTTTTTTTTATTACTTTTGTAGCTTCCAAAATTTATGAGCATTATTTTTGTAATAAACAAATCAACAAATAAATAATAAATAAAGTAAAAGATCTCCCAAGTTATGTAACCAGTGCTTGTCAACCTTGGCTGCTAAATCAGTTAACTATTTCTGCATAATAAATCACTCTGAAACTTAGTGTTTTAAAAGAACAGTCATTTTATTTGCTGATTATTCTGTGGGTCAGCATTTTGGTGTGCATTTAATGGGGCAGTTTTTCTGCTGGTATTGCCTCAGATCACTAACAATGGTGGCTACAGTCACTTTTTGCTTCCCTAGAGCTCGATAGTCTAAGAAAGCTTGACTTATTGGGTCGTCATGAAATCATGGCACATTTTTGCATTGAAAAACAGAGAAAAATACGTCATGACTTTCCTGATGACCCAATACATTTCTGGTGGTTGGTGCTGGCTGTTGGCTAAGCCTTGTGTCTCCAGCAGGCCAACCTGAATTTTTTCACATAATGTCTTACTTCCAAAAGCAGTAAGAAAGGTCAAGCCCAGACATAGATGTTTTTCTAGTCTCTGCTTGTGTTAATGTTTTGTTAATGTTTCATTGGCCAAAGCAAGCCACACGGCAACACCCAAAATCAATGTGGGAGGAGATTCTACAAGGGCACAAAGGTGTGGATATCTGGAGGCATGAGGCATCACGGACCGTTAGTGTAACAATTTGCCACAGGTGCCCATTGGAATCTCCATGCCCAGGCCACACCCCAAACCAACTAAATAACAATCTTTGGAAGTGGTACCCAGGCATCAGTATTTTTAAAGTTTCCAGGTGATTCCAATAAGCAGCCAAGGATGATAACTGACAAACTAATAGGAAAAAATAGGTTTCCATTTAGAGAAATTTGACCAACACAACTTTTTTGAAATACATTTTTATTAAAGTGTGGTATTCTAGAATGAAAGGGAAGGAATAAAGGCATTGTCATATATGTGCTTTCATTTGCCCATATGTATGTACATGAATTTCACATCAGAGAATGTTCAGTGAAGAACACAGGTGGACAGAAGGGGCCAGGAACTCAGAAACATCTCAGCAAGGGTTGGGGTTGGGGGTGGGGAATGTCAGGTTTTGATGGTCCATATTGATGATCTAGTCCAATGTTTCTAAACTTTCTGACATCTGCCTTCTTTAAAAGCTACCTTTGTGGTCAGGAACTTCTTATCTCTGATATCACAATTTTGTAGTGTTTTGGCGATGAACATGCATGGTCCTCCCTTTGCCAATGACCTTATACGGTAGTCAAGGTAAATTGAGCCATCTGAGGTAAAAGCTGCCTTGAACCGAAAGTAAGTAGTTGGGTTAGTTAAGAACAATGGTTTTTCTTTAACAGAACCATGGGGGACTCCCCAGTTTTGTATCACTGATTAATAAAGTTAACTTATCAGCAGGTTACCAGGGCATCTATTAGCAGCCCTTTGGAATACATAATGTGCCCTAAAATATTGTTTGTGTGGAGGAAAGCTCCAGATGTCATATCTGTAGGCAGCAACAAAGGCAAGAAGGTAACTGCTTTGAGAGTGGTAGCTTGGAATGTGGGAAAGTAGATGAAGTTTTTTGACCTGCAGATGTGGATTTTAATCCTAGTTCTGTTACTTACTCTTTGTGTGACGTTGATTAGGTTATGTGGTCTTCTGAGTCTTAGTTTTATCATTTGTTAAATAAGGTTAATAGAATTTACTTGACAGCCATTGTGAAAATCAGACATAATCCACTTAGCATAAATTTGGCATTGCACTTGTAGTAGCTGTTATTGTTATTCAGATTTTTAACAAAGGACTAAAAGATTGCTGTTATGTGACCCAACTCAAAAGGCATGCCTCATATTTGAAAAGTGCATGCCTACTGAATAAGTGGTTTCCATTCAACTCCTTCATGTTCCTAAACCAGAGGTCCTCAACTGGACATAATTTTGGCCCCAAGGAGACTTTAATAATGTCTGGAAGCATATTTGGTTTCCACAACTGGAGGTGAGAGTGTGCTAGTGGAATCTACTGGGTAAAGGCCAGGGATGTTGCTAAACATTTTACAGTCAGTGCATAGGACAGCCCCATAACAAAGAATAATCAAGCCCAGGGGTCAGCAAACTTTTGAGATGGAAGAGCCACCAGGGGTCAGCAAACTGTGGCTCGTGAGCCGCAGGCTCTGAAGTAAAATTGAAAATGAAAATAAAACTATCATAGTTTCATTTATAAAATCTTTAAAGGATATTATTTACATAATGATGATTATGTAAAAATATACTTATGGCTCTCAAATATTTAAATTGTTGTGAGGGACAGGATTGGCTCTCCAGGAGTCGGCAAACTTGTGAGACGGAACGTACCCAAAGAGCTGCATGTGGCTCCCGAGCCGCAGTTTGCCGACCCCTGATCTATCCCAAACTTTGAGTAGTTTTCAATGGGTTTAGGAAACCTGATCTAGACCAGGTTGCAGAATTGTTACAGATCCACCTTCATACCTCCCTTGCAACCATTCAAGTAATTCTTGTGTTTTATTGAGGGGATAGTAATCTTTGTGGGGATAGAGCTATATGTAATTTTTTTTATGTTGAATATACCTTATATTGGTATTTTTAAAGATACATATTTAAGGTCTCTGATTCTAACTCTGGCAAAAATTGATGTGTGTTCAAATGAGATTTGGGCTCTGGGTAGGATTTCTAGCTCCAACCCGAAACCTAATCCTTCTTTGGGATTACCATCAGGAAATCCTTCTTAGTAGGCAGTTTAAACTAGTTTCTGGGCTCTATTTGGGGGAAACAAAGTCCACAGGTAAAAGTCTGGCAGGGTCACCAAGGAAAGGGCCAAGCTGTGGTGGAGACAACCTGGACCTTAAGGGAATAGAATAAGTAGATGGGAACCAGGCTTCTACTCAGTGTGATGGTGGGACTGTAAATGGGAACCCCAAGATTATGAAGGGTTTGAATAATCCCGAGATGGCAATGTTTGTGATGTCCTGGAAGTGTGCTAATAAAGAGGATGACTATATCTTGGGTGATAGACCTGGGACCAAAGATGAACATTCATATGTTAAGGTGAATGAATTAAGCAAGTGGTTCATCTAATAGATCATCTATACCTGCATCCAGATTTATGTATCTGTAAATCTGGTTTGGTTATTAAGAGCAAAACAAAACAAGCTTCCCCACAGTTTAGCCATCCTTAAGTCACTCCAGCCAGTGAACATGCAAGTATCCACTGACCATAGAAAGCCAAGCATAGTATTTCTTAAATATTGTCACTCACTGATAGGTGGTGGCTGTTTGTATAAACTGTATTTCTGAGAAAGTTTTTTAAAATGTGGCTTAAAACGTATATATTATTTAATGTTAAACATTTCTAAACTGTTTTAGAATTGATGGTTATGAATGTCTGAATATTTACTTAAAAGAATTTTAAGTTGGGACACTTACTAAAAGGCTCAAAAATTTTAAGAAATATAAAAATCTGGCATGTAAGAGACCTGAGAAATTTAAAAAGAAATGCTAATGAAATAGATAAAATGTAACAAAGACCAATATGAAAATCAGTAAGAACAAAGCAAAGAACACTGAAGGAAGAAGACACCTGGAAATGTAGAAAATATTAAGTACCTTGACAGATCAAACAGAATCACCTGTGTTCCAGCTGTGAGCTTTCAACACAAAATAGTGGGGGTGACAGTTAAACATAATCAAATAAATACACCAAGTGCAGTCATGATGATAGGGCAAAGACAGCTGCTGGGTGTCCCCCAATATCTGTATTTCCCTTCTTTTATAGTAATAGAGCCCATGATTTTTAGTGAGACACATGGTTTCCCACAAGAGAGATATTTCCCAATTCTTGAAACTAGCGAGAGTCGTGTCATCAAATTGTGGTCAGTGGGACATTTGTGGAAGTGATGTGTGTGACTTCTGGAATGTGTGACAGCAGGAAGGAGTGGGCCCTACTTCCTGTTGGGTGGAATGTGGATGTGGTGGTCAGCTATGTTGGATCATGAGGACAAGTGCAATGTAGGGATGGTGGGAGCAACAAGGTAGAAATTTGGCACCATACCCCCATCACCATGGCATCATACCAGCTCTGGGCTGATTACACCCTGTTGCTTCTATCTTGTTTAAGCCACTATTGTTTTGGTTCTGTGTAACAACAGCCAAGCCTATATCCTAATACACAAGGGACATATGTCAAGCAAATATTTACAGAGAACATGATTTAAGAGTACAGGTGATCAAAAAAGGCTGAGAATATCAAGTGTTAGCAAGTATGTGGAGCAACTGGAATCCTCAGAAAATGGTGGTGGGAATGTAAAATGGAACAGCCACAATTTAGGAGTTTCTAAAAAGTTAAAGATATTTACCATATGACCCAGCAATTCCACTCTTAGGTGTCTATCCAAAAGAAATGAAAACATGTCCACATGAAAACTTATATGTGAATGTTCATAGCAGCATTATTTGTAATAGCTCAAAACAGGAAATAATTCAAATGACCATCAACTGGAGAATGGATAAACAAACTGTATTAAATCCATAAAATGGAATACTAAGCAATAAAAACAAACAAACTGCTGATATTGATACATCTATGCAACAACATGGATGAACCTCAAAAAAACGATAAGTGAAAGAAATAAGACGTGTGAGACTATATTTGTATTATTACATTTATTTTAAGCTTCTAGAAAGGCAAAATTATAGATACAGGCAGCAGATCAATGGTTGCCTAGGATAGTAGGTGGTAGCAAGGAGTGACTACAACAAACAGGCACAAGGAATGCTTTTGGGTAATGGAAGTATTTTAAAACTGGATTGTGATAATTGCACAATTTATTAAGTTTACTAAATATCATCAGACTATATACTTAAAATAGGTGCATTTTATGTCTTTTAAATTACACCTCTATAAAGCTGTTTAAAAAAAATAAAGAGGGTCAGCCGAGTGGCACGTTGGTTAAAAGTTGGCTTGGGAGCGTGAGCTCTGAGCAGCAGGCCGGTTGGGATCCCACATGAGGGCCAGTGACGCTGCCCTCTACAGCTAAGATGCTGAACAACAGCTCCACCTGGAGCTGGGCTGTCTTGAGTCACCGGTGACAGCGAAGGCGAAGGCTGCAGTGGGGCAGTGAGCCGCAGTGAGCTGCCGTGAGTGGCCGTCCATTGGCTGGTGACTGACCCGCCTCAGCCAGGAAGAGCGCAATGATAATACCAACATGGGCCAGTGAAGTGACGTCCTCCACAACTAGACTTAAGAACAGAAGGACAGCAACTTGTCTGTTCCCCTTCCCCAATTCCCCAACGCTGTTCCCTTCACCCAATTTCCCAATAAAATCTTAAAAAAATAAAATAAGGATTATAGGTGAGCTGATGGTGCTAAGAATAAATCACCGCCAGTTTTCAGTTGTGAGTGCCTCTATGTTGCTTTCTCATGGAACTTCTTTTGCATCAGAGAGGAACAAGATTAATTGAAATATTATGAACAAGTTGAAAACATGCTAGTATTTGAGGAATAATAGTTAAAATCTACCAGAGCAGAATACATTATGCTACCTACAGCTGTGGTAAGAAAAATTCCCTTGACTCACATGGAATGATATATATAGGTAATGGCATTCTTCGTTTTAGAATAGTTTGAAACTTACAATACGAATCTTTATGGTGAATGTGGTAGACAATCTCTAAAAATGCCCCCCCCACCATGAACCATGCCTCCTGGTGTAGCCCCTCCAGTTGAATCTGGGCTGGCCCTATGACTTATGTTTGACTAATAGAATGCTTCAGAAATGATGCTAAGGCTGGATCACACAAAATGTTGCAGTTTTTGCTCTGGTCACTTGAGACATAAACACTGGGGGAAGCCAGCCACCATGTAGGAAGTCTTACTTCCCTGAGATTTGTGTACTGTGAGGAAGCACAAGCTAATCACATGGAGAGAGAGAGAGAGAGAGAGAGAAAGAGACTGAGAGACCCCATCCTAGGCTCTGAATATGAGGGAAGAGACCATTTTGGACATCCAGCCAAGTTGATCTTTCAGGTGACTGCAGCCCCAGCCAATGTCTGACTGCAGCCACATGGGAGAGCACAGATGAAAGCTACCCAGCTGAGCCTGGTTAACCACGGATTTGTGCTTTTAGTACGCTTTGGAGTGGTTTGTTACAAAGCAATAGATAACCAAAATGAAAATAAGGTAAGGAAAGACTATAGAAGTTGTATTTTGATTTCTCTGATTTAAAATGTAATAAATTTAGTAGCTAGATTGAGGGACTTTAATAAAGCTATCTTACTTGCTAGCAACCTTTTTGGGAATCTTTGTGTAACACAGACTTTTTCTTTTTTTAAAAATTTCAGAGACTGCAGACAGAGTGGCATTGTAACAAAGGTGTTTCAGGTGGACTGTGAACCACCAAATACAGTCTCTTCGGAAGATAGTGTTGAAAATATTCTCAAAGATTCTTCAAAGCAGGCAAGTGATGAAACTAATACATTCAGGTAGTCACCACATTCTTGGTTCCCTCTTTCTCAGTGGCCACATTTTCCCTTTCATTTCATCACCACAGCCATTTTATCTACAGTCAGGTTCTTATAATGAGGTCGTAGTCAACCACTGCAAAGTATCTTTGCTGATTTCCCCCCTTTGGTCATTCTTTCTTGCACCCTGCACATTAGATATTTCTACCCATCATCACTGCCCATGTTCCAGTATCCTCAATTACTCCCCCTTATTTACCGAATAAACAGAAACCTTTAGCTTGGCATCCCAAGTGATCAGTTTTTGTCCTCAGTCTTCCTTTCTTGCTCTGTGACTCCCCTGTGTATACTCCAGCCCAATTAAACTGTGTTTTCTGTGTTGTATAACTGCTCCCCTAGCACCCAGGCCTTCTCCTTTTATAAAATGCTTTGAATATTTGATTACTTTTCTCTTTGTCTGTCTGTCTTCTTGCACTGTAAGCTCCAAGGTGGCAGAGAGCAGGTCTTCCATACTCAATGCCTTGCACAGGAGCAGGTAGAAGAGGTGGTGAGTGTATATTTGTTGAATAGATGCACCAGACTAGTAAAATCCCTCAATGGACATAGCCTTCCGTTATGTTGAAATCTCATCCCCAAATATCTGCAAAGCCTTACATCTTTGGAGAGTGAACTAGACCTGTTTAAGAAGGATATTTGAAACTTCAGTCCCTGAGTTGTGGACATCAGTAAGATAGATCCATGGGCCAAAGGGTGGGCCAACCCATGGTAAGGCAACCAACCAAAAAGTCTCAGTCATGGAGGTCTTGTTGGGGGTGACAAGGGAAGATTTTTTTGGAGTCCCTTCAGCCCAACAGTGGACCAGAGGCCAGAGAGGAGGCTGTAGCACCAAAGAAGAAGGTGCAGGCATGGTGCGGGTCTCAAGTATGATGAGGGCCCATGAGGCCTCTCACCAAACAGAGGGAAAGATACTGCGCAGAGACTGAGCCTTACATGTATCAGTGGGTACTCAGTCTTAATCAGACATGAGGGACTGAGTACATGAAGAAGAAAGTCCAAGAGAAGAGTGTTGAAGGACAATGTGGGCAGGTAGTGTACTTAAGTCCTGTCTTGATCTGAGCCCACCCTGTCTTTGCCCCCTGGAATTGGTGGTCCCTCTGTTATTACTTAGACTCCTATGATAGCAACACCCTGCCTACATGTTCTGCTACCTGCCTCTTGTTTTGGCTACTTGACCTGGTGGGGCCTACCAACCAGACATACTGCCAACCAAGCAGCCCAGATACAAAACTGTGTGTTTCCAGAGTAAGGTGAGACAGCGGTCCCTTTGTAGAAACTACTGTAAGTCCTTTCAAGTATGAAGTACATGCTATGACACTGCCTCTGCCATGTAACTTAATGTTTACATGCTACATGGGCATAATCAAGTGATTGACATGCAATCTCTTTATTCCTAGGATTTGAAAAATGGGTTTGTTGGATCAAAACTAAGGAAGAAATCCAAGAATGCTGAAAATAAACTGGTTTGGAATGTTAACCTTAGAAAGTTTCCAGGTATGACATGAGAGAATGAAGATAAGATTTAGTATTCTAAACCCCCAAACAGGTTCACTGCTTGTTTTCTTGTCTGTAGAAGGGTAGGATTAAGAAATTTGAATTTTAGTTATTTTAGCTAACAGCTTAAGACCATCTGATCAATAAGTCCAACAAAGTCAGGTTTATCGTCATTGCAGCAAGGGAGAGAGACTATATACCAGAGAACTCATGAAGCCTCTCACCAAACAAAGGGAATGATACAGTAACAGCATTTGGGGAAAGGGTAGAGTTTGGGTGAAATGTAAATGAAAAAGTTTTGATAGGCTTAAAGCATAGCAGGGCAGCATATGAAGTAGTCACCATCAGTTATGGACTAGGAAGGAACTAGGGTTCTGTTACCTTGGAAACTATAAAGATATATGTGACTGTTGTGCTCAGAAACCCTTCTCTAAAGCTCTGTACCAGGGTTGGAAATTGAGGCTGTTTCTCTATGTCAAAGTGACTCAGGTCCTCAAGCAAGAGTCAGATGTTTCATTCTTACTGATACGATTTCAAACAGCAAAGTTACTGATAATCTGATTTTAGAGAATAAGGTATTTTGGCAAGTAAGAAACAATAGTCACTCAAAAGTGGGGTGGGGCGGGAGGGTACTGTTATGATATTTTACTGCTGCAATGTGTCCTGGGGAGAAATAATATTTCCTGTTAACCTTGCAGTTGGACTTATCTATTTTACCAGCCTGATATGAAATGTTGTGGAATGTAGCAGGGCAGATTTTAATTTTCTGCTTGGTTAATTTTTCTTGGTGCTAATTCAACTGAATGGGGGCTTCTTTATATAATTGCTGCTTTAGGGAAAGAATGTAATGACAGTGGTCCCTTATTAAAAGGTTTCCAACTATGAAGATGTGTTTTCATGATTACATATGTGATTACAGGTGCTCACAGAACAATGTTTTTCATGTAATTGTAGATCTCAAGGTAGGTGAAAGAACTGAAGCTAAAACATTGAAAGATCTTCGCTTCTCAGAGAGTCCCCTGGAAATTCCAGCTTACCATGAAGAATCAGGTTCTAGACCACCCACCCATCAGTCCCAGGTAACTTCTAAGGAAAATCTTCAGGGTACTAAATACCTACTATTAATATATTTTTGTGTTTCCCATGAAATACTTTAAGGCAGTGTCCCCAGCCTTTCCCCCTTGTGCCAGGCACTGTTCCAGAGCTGGGAATATTGTTTTAGACAGAAAGTCCCGTGTACTCACAGAGCTTACATATTATTGGGTGTGGGAGTAGGCAGATTTAACTATGTAAATAATTAAACAAAAGTTTAAATTGTTGTGTCATGAGAAAGATAAAACTGGGTAATGGAATAAATAGAGTAATGGTTCTCAAAGTGTGGACTTCACAGGCCAGTATGATCAGCATCACATGGGAGCTCATTAGAAATGCAAATCCTCAGGCCCCACCCTTGACCTACTGAACTAGGGACTCTGGAGGTGGACCCAGTAATCTGTTTTAATTTGCCCTTCTTCTGATGCATACTCAAGTTTGAGAATCCCTAGGACAGAAAATGATGGAAGAACAGTGTTCTAAGTCAGGGTGATAAGAGAGGGCTTCCTTGGAAAGGTAACATTTGAATTGAGCCTTCAAGATGAACAGAAGCCAGCCCTGCAAAGATCTCGGCAGCAGTAACAAGTACAGCAAAGTGAGGGATTACAAGGAGGCTGGTGTGGCTGTAGCATAGGAGATAAGGTGGGAGAGGTAAGCTGAGGCCACAGCATGGAGAGGTGTGGTTCTCAAACATGCCTGCACATTCGAATCACCTGAGAGCCTTCAAACCAGTCCTAGGAACTCAACCTCAGAAATTCCGATTTAATTGGTCTGGTGTGAGGTTTGGGAATGGTTTTATTTATTTACTTTAATTCACCTACAAGTGATTCTAATGGGCAGACATGGTTGGGAATCACAGATGCTATGGGTGAGGCCCATTGTAAGGAGCTTGGCTTTTCTTCTATCTGTAAAGGGAATCCATTTGGAGGGTAAGAAATTATCTCATTTACATTTAAACATTTTCTCTTTGGCCACGGTATGGAGATTTGGCTGTAGAAAATAAGAGGGGAATATTATTTAGGAAGATTTTGTTCCTGGCGAGAGATGATGGTGGCCTGTACCAAGGTTATACAAGAGATGATCATAGGAGGCAGTGGAAATCCAGATGTGTTTTGGAGGTAGAGCCAACAAGTTTGGTTAAGGGATCAGATGGATAGGAGGAGGGAAAGGAAAGAGTCAAGGATGACTCTCAGGGTTCTGGCCTGAGCATCTGGAGTTGATGGTACCATTAATTAAGATGGGGAAGGTGAGGAAGGAGCAGGTGTTCAGGGGCTCATTAGACATTCAAGTGGAGGTGTTAAATAGACTGTTGGCCATACAAGCTCAAATGCAGTGAATAGGTCAGGCCTGAAGATATTCAGTATATAGATGGTATTTAAAGCTTGGGTCTGAATGAGATCACTTACCAAGGGTGTACAGAAAATGAAGAGAAGATGGCACAAGGCAAAATTCTTGACTCAGAGGTTGAACAGAAGAGGAAGAGTCTGAGAAGTAGGAAAAATGCCCCCCCCCAAAAAAAGAAAGGATATCATAGAAGCCAAGAGAAGAAAGGGTTTCGGGAGTAGGCAGTGGTCATCCGTGTCAAATGTTACTGGGATTCAAATTAGACAAGGACAGGGATTTGTCCATTGGATTTGATAAGATGGAGGTGATTTATGACCTCAATAAAAGCTATATCAATACATTCTTACTATATAACACAAGAAAGATGCCCTTATACTAGTTGCCTATGCCTATGCCTACTTCTACTACTACTACTATTATAGCAATTTGATTTTTAAATTTTTATAAAATCCAATTTAGAATTTTGTCATCTAAAGACAACCCAGGAGCCCTTGCTGTCTCCCTCCAATCTGAGCCCCACGTAGAACATACATGGAGTCACATTGTTCTATCCAATTACTACTGCTTCTTGTGATTCCAAGCTTGCTTACACTTAACATCAAGTATAAAGGATGTTAGAAGGCATGTTTCCAAAGGCTGGTTGCACATCAGAATCATCTGGAGGGAACTTTAAATATATACATAGATCCCCAGCTACCCCTCCTTCTATCCTCCTAGATAATCTGACTTCATAAGTCTGGATGTAGTCTATGGATGACTTTGATGATTAGCTCAGCCTGAGAAGCACTGGCCTAGAAGACCAACTCTCCTTATCCTGAGGTCATGCCCTTTCCATCAGTTCCAATCTCTAACTGTGGTATAACTTGGCCTGACCTCCTGGGTTCTTCCATCCACCCACTATATTTTCTGGAGGACCACAAAGCTCAGGCCAGAGGACCACAGACCTAAAAAGGCCTGCTTGTAAACCCCACCAAACAAAAGGACAACCATCCCTACAATAGAATATTGCCCTTCCCAATTTTCTGGAAAGAACGATTACCTGGTTACCAAATAGACTAATGAGCATATGCAACTCCTGCGAGTAATGTTTGCTGGTGTTACCCAAATAAGAATACTGCTTCTGAGATTTAAAAAGTATCATTTTGAAGAATGAATGGTATATGACAAAACATAAGCATAGCTATTTTCAGAAAAGCAGTCTAATGTGACTTTAATTTTCTATATGTCTAGAAAGAATTCTTTTCTCTGTGCAAGGATATTTGGATTACCTTGCCCACCTAGTTATTTAAGAATTGTTTCCAAAGGAAAGATAGAGTAAAACAATATGTAAAGATTTCAAGATTCAGAATCTCAAAAAACTAGGAACATGGGGACAAGTTTGGAGAATTTGACTAAAGTTCAGAGGGCCAAAGAGTCCAGAAAAAGATCACAAAATGTTTATCTTCCACCTTTTTTCTTCATATTGGTAAATGATTCTTCTCAATATTCCAGCTCAATCCCATCAGGAGCATACTTCAGCAAACATCAGAGTTAATGATGCTGGTGGTATTACACCTCAATAATCACCAGCGAGATGTCTCTGAGCTAAACTTCTGGTCTGGGGCCACCGAAGGGGCCAGGCAGAAATAGTCTGAGTGGTAGATAAATGACAGTGACATCTGGCTTTAGTGTCAGGACACAAGGTTTGGGGGCTCTCTGTCCAGGTGGAATGCCCCCACCAGGTAAAAGGGTTATCTCTGCTCAGCTCCAGCCAACCTTTGACAAGAAGGCCTACCAGGTCATTGTTGCCACATCTAAGAATTTGCAAGTGAAGCCAGAAACCTGCATCTTTATATGTTATAACCTAATTTTAAATTTTAGCAATTGCTTCAAAATTTGTATATTTTTGTATATTTTGGGCCAAAAACAAACCCAATGGCAGGCCAAATTGGCTAATAGACCACCACTTCGTGATTTCTCTTCTAGGCCATGTTGGATCTGACACAAAAATCAACTAAAAACCTTTGACTGATCCCCACTGCCTGCAGCATAGTCTTGAGTCTGAAACTCAACCCACAGACAGGGAGTTTACTGGGGTCAGATAGGCTTTAGTACGTGAGATACTACACTGCTGGTGATGAGACCTTGAGCAAGTGACTTAGACTTTCTGAGCCTCAGCATTCTCATCTCAAAAATGGGGAATATATGTTTCTCTTGATATGATGCACTAAGATGGACACAATATCATTTCTCTCATATTTGTACCAAAATGCGTGACTGAATCCAAGCACAAGGAAACATGAGACAAAACCAAATTGAAGGAGATTCTACAAATTAACTGACCTGTTACTCTTCAAAAATGTCAACATCATGACAGATAAAGACAAGCTGAGTAAGCATTCCAGATTAAAGGAGACAAAAGAGACATGATAACTAAATGCAGAGTATGATACTAGAATGAATCCTAGACCAGGAAAAAAATACAGCTGTGAAGGGTATCATTGGCACAATTAATAAAACTTGAATTATATCTTTATAGGTTAGATAATAGTACTGTGTAACTGTTAACTTTTCTGGTTTTGATCATTATGCTGTTGTATAAGAGGAAATCCTTTTTTGGAGGAAATGTACAGTGAAGTATTTTGAGACGGCATCATAACTACAGTTTTTTCGTCATGATTCAGAGAGAGACAGAAAATGAAATCACTTGGGGAAAAATGTTAATGTGAACAATTGGTCAAACTGGTTATACAGAAGTTATTTATACAATTCTTGCAACTTTTCTGTAAGTTTGAAATTATCAAAAGAAAATATTATAAAAGTAAAATAAAATGGAAAAATACTACACACATCACAAGTTCATTGTGAAATGTCAAGGGGATAATGGCTACAAAATGTTGGGCACATTTTATTACTGTTAGACCCTCCATAAGTGTTCACTTCTCCCCTTTACGTTCTTTCTTCATTCAACCTTCCTTTCTGTCCTATTCTTCTACCACTTGGACCTATAGACCACATGAAGCTACCTGAGTCCCTGGATAGGCCATGTACTGTAATATTTATCTTTGTCCCCTTCCTTGCATCAAATAAAAATATGTCAAAATGAGTTAAATGTTTGTGGGTAACAGCAGACAGTTACTCCATTTGTTCTTTTAGGTGAGTCTTTTTGAGTTTCCTTAGAGATATAATCTTGGAGAAAAATGGATGCTAACTTAGGTTTTCAAATTCTAAAATCTGGTCTGTCTGATGGTAAATTCAGATATCTTTGTTTGTAAACTCATGTTTTTAATGAAATACCATATCTGATTATGAATAGCACTTCAATTTTTAAATTTTGGGTACTGAGGTAATCATTACTTATGACTTCCCCCATCATGGTTTTTAACAGATGAGTGCTGGATAGAAGATAAAACATTAAAATGATTTTCTGATGAAATTTTATTGTATCAGCTTTACCATGATTTTATTCGTAATTTTAGTTCTCTAGTTTTGCACACGTAACTGGCCAGAAGAGTTTGACAAGCACGGAGATCATGAGAATTCAAAGGGAGACAGACTTTCTCAAGTAAGTATCTCATTCTCTTCACTATTTCTTAAATCCTACTTAGACACATTAAGGTAAAAAAGAATTTAATCATGGGACATAACAATGGTGTTTGCCCACTCCGAGCTCTTTTTTATTAAATTTTTACAGATTGTAAAGATATAATTGTTATACAATAAACTGTACTTATTTAATGAGTACAATTGACATGTGTATGTAACCTCGAAACTATCACCACAGTCAAGAAAATGAACAAATCTACCACCTCCAAAGTTTCCTACATGGTACCTTTTGGAAATTCCTCTTGTGCCCCTCCTCATCCCTAGGCAACTACTGATCTGCTGCTTGTCACTACAGCTTAGTTTGCATTTGATTCCATATGTAAATGGAATGATTCAGTATGTTTTTGTTTTTGTTTTTTTTTGGCCAGGCTTCTTTCACTCAGCCTACTTATTTTGATACTTGCCCGTGTTGTTGAATGTATCAAACATTTATTTATTTTTATTGCTGAATAGTATTCCATTGTATGGATATATCACAGTTTGTTTATCCAGTTAGTTACTTATTGATGGACATCAGGGTTGTTGACAGTTTTTGGCTGTTACCGATAAAGCTGCTATGAACATTTGTAAGCAAGTGATCCTGTGCACAGATACTTTCATTTCACTGAGGTAAATACCTAGCAGTGGAATGACAGAGTCATATGATAGGTATATGTTTTTATTTTCCTTTTTCTTTTAACTTTTTTTTTATAACAATTTCAGGTTTACAAAACAACATAATGATTAGACATTTACATGCCTCACAAAGTGATACCCCCCATTTTATTACCCCTCTGACATCATATGAAGCTATTATAATACCATTGACTATATTCCCTATGCTATACTTTATATCCCGTGACTATATACCAGGGGTGCCAAAAAAATGCACACAAGTGGACATTTTGGTCAATGTTGCTCAAGCAGTAGTAGTCTGCCATAATCAGAAGTGTTTGGACACTGATGGTAACCACTTTGAGCACCTCTTGTAATTGCAGAAGTCAAATGTGACTTGTATTCGTTGTTATCAGTATATATTTAGTATTACAATTTTAGTACAGTTTTACTTTCTTAAAATGTGTATACATTCTTGGCACCATATATGTATACATATGTGTGTGTGTGTATATATGTGTATGTGTGTATATATATATATATATATATACATACACACATATATATTTAATTATAGTTGACATTCAATACTATTCTACTTCAGCTTCAGGTGTACAGCGCAGTGGTCACACATAATCTATGAAGTGATCCTTTTGCTAAGTCCAGTACCCATCTGGTACCCTACATAGTCTTTACAACATTATTGATTATATTCCCCATACTGTCTTTCACATCCCCATGACTATTTTATGATTACCAATTTGTATTTTCTAATCCCTTCATCTTCTCCCCTATATCCCTCAGCGCCCTTCTATCTAGCAACCATCAGTTTGTTTTCTGTATCTCGTAGTCTATTTCTGTTTTGTTTGCTCATTTATTCTGTTCTTTAGATTCCACATATATGTGAGATCATATGGTATTTGTCTTTCACAGTCTGACTTATTTCACTTAGCATAATATTCTCTAGATCCATCCATGTTGCAAATGGTAAGATTTTATTCTCTTTTATAGCAGAGTAATACTCCATTGTATACATAGATGTACCATAGCTTCTTTACCTAATCATCTATGATGGGCATTTAGGTGTTTTCATATCTTGGCTATTGTGAATAGCACTGCAATAAACATACGGGTGCATATATTTTTTAAAATTAGTGTTTTGGATTTATTTGGATAAGTACCCAGGAGTGGAATTTCTGGGTCACAAGGTAGTTCTATTTTTAATTTTTGAGGAACCTCCATACTGTTTTCCATAGTGGCTGCACCAATTTGCAATTCCACCAACAGAGCACGAGGGTTCCCTTTTCTCCACATCCTTGCCAGCACTTGGAGTTTGTTGATTTATTGATGATAGCCATTCTGCTAGAGTGAGGTGGTATCTCATTGTGGCTATTATTTGCATTTCTCTAATGATTAGTGATGTTGAGCATCTGTTCATGTGTCTATTAGCCATCTGTATGTCCGCTTTAGAGAAATGTCTCTTCATGTCATCTGCCCTTTTTTTTTTTCAATTTTATTGAGAAACAGTGTGTTTTTCCAGGACCCATCAGCTCCAAGTCAAGTAGTCGTTTCAACCTAGTTGTGGAGGGCACAACTCAGTGGCCTATATGGGGATCGAACCAGCAACCTTGGTGTTGTGAACACTGTGCTCTAACCAACTGAGCTAACCAGCCACACCGCTCTGCCCATTTTTTAATTGGGTTGTTTGTTTTTTTGGTGTTGAGTTGTGTGAGTTTTTTAATAAACTATGTATATTAACCCCTTATCAGGTGTATCATTGGCAAATATCTTCTACGATTCAGTAGGATGTCTTTTTTGTTTTGTCATTGGTTTCCTTTGCTGTGAAAAAACTTTTTACTTTGATATAGTCCTATATATTTATTTTTTCTTTTGCTTCCCTTGCCCAAAGGGATATATCAGTAAATATATTACTAAGGATAATGTCTGCGAGTTTACTTCCTACATTTTTGTCTAGGCGTTTTATGGTTTTGGGTCTTCCATTTAAGTCTTTAATCCATTTTGAGTTTATTCTTGAATATGGTGTAAGAAGGTGGTCCAGTTCCATTTTTTTTGCATGTATCTGTCCAGTTTTCCCAGGATCATTTATTAAATAAACTCTCCATTGATCTATGTGTCTGTTTTAATGCCAACATCATGCTGTTTTGATTACTATAAACTTGTAGTATAATTTAATATCAGGGAGCGTGATACCTCCTGCTTTGTTCTTATTTCTCAGAATTGCCGTGGCTATTCAGTGTCTTTCATGGTGCCATATAAACTTTAGGATTATTTGTTCTAGTTCTTTGAAAATGCCATTGGTATTATGATAGGGATTGTATTGAATCTATATATTGCTTTGAGTACTATGGACATTTTAACTATATTAATTCTTCCTATCCATGAGCATGGTATATTTTTCCATTTATTTGTAACTTCTTTAATTTCTCTCTTCAATGTCTTATAATTTTCTGAGTACAGGTCTTTTATTTCCTTGATTAAATTTATTCCTAAGTATTTTTCTGATGCAATTGTAAATGGGATTTTCTTAATTTCTCTTTCTGATAGTTTGTTATTGGTGTATAAAAGTGGAACTAATTTCTGAATGTTAATTTTGTATCCTACTACTTTACTAAATTCATTTATCATTCTAATAGTTTTTTGGTGGAATCTTCGGGGTTCTCGGTATATAGCATCATGTCATCTGCAAATAATGATGATTTTACTTCTCCTTTCCAATTTGGATGCCTTTTATTTCTTTGTCTTGTCTGATTACTGTGGCTTGAACTTCCAGTACTATGTTGAATAAAAGTGGTGAAAGTGGGCATCCTTGTCTTGTTTCTGATCTTAAGGGGAATGCTTTTAGCATTAGCATATATTGAGGTATGTTCCCTCTGTTCTCACTTTGCTGAGAGTTTTTACCATAAGTGGATGCTGGATTTTCTTAAATGATTTTTCTGCATCTATTTATATGACCATATCATTTTTATTTTTCATTTTGTTGATGTGATGTATCACGTTAATTGGTTTGTGGATATTGAGCCAACCTTGCATACCAGGAATAATCCCACTTGATTCTGGTGTATGATCTTTTTAATGTATTGCTCAATTTAGTTTGTTAATATTTTGTTAAGGATTTTTGCATCTGTATTCATTAGGGATAGTGGCCTATAGTTTTATTTTTTTTGTGTGATGTCTTTGTCTGGTTTTGGAATCAGGGTAATGATGTCTTCATAAAATGAGCTTGGGAGCCTTCCCTCCTTCTGGATTTTTTGGAATAGTTTGAGGAGAATGGGTGTTAATAATTCTTTAATTGTTTGGTAAAATTCCTCTGAGAAGCCATCTGGTACAGGACTTCTGTTTGTTGGGAGGTTGTTGATTACTGATTCGATTTCATTGATAGTAATTGGTTTGTTCAGATGTTTTGTTTGTTTGTTTTTATTCATCCTTGGAAGATTGTATGCTTTTAGGAATTTATCAGTTTCTTCCAGATTGTCTCATTTGTTAGCATATAGTTGCTTGTAGTATTTTCTTAAAATTTTTTGTATTTCTGTGATGTCTGCTGTCACTTCTTTCATTTCTGATTTTATTGACTTGGGTCCTTTCTCTCTTTTTCTTGTCAATTCTGGGTAAAGGTTTGTCAATTCTGTTTATCTTTTCAAAAACCAGCTCTTGGTTTCATTGATCTTTTTTTTCTTTTTTTATGGGGTGGTGTCTCTATTTCATTTATTTCTGCTCTGATCTTTGTTATTTCCATCCTTGTACTCACTTTGGGCTTATTTTGCAGTTCTTTTTCCAGTCCCCTTAGTAGGTGTAAAGATAGACTGTTGATTTGAGATTTTTCTTGTTTCTTTAGGTAGGCCTGCATTACTATGCATTTCCCTCTTGTGACTGCTTTCCCTGCATCCCATAGATTTTGGGTTGTGTGTGTTCATTTTAATTTGTCTCAAGGTATCTTTTGATTTCTTTTTTTTTTTAATTTTTATTGGGGATTTGGGGGGATGGGAACAGTGCTGGGGAATTGGGGAATTGGGGAAAGGGGAACAGACAAGTTGCTGTCCTTTTGTTCTTCAGTCTAGTTGTGGAGGACATTGCTTCACTGGCCCAAGTTG